TGGGTTCTGCGCATGTACAGAACCCGTGCTCCGCCTTAGCGGTGACGTCATCACATTGCTTCCGGGCGCAAAACATCATGGGAAATGAGGTGTCTCTTGGCGCTGATGTTTGAAGATGCTTTTCAAAGCAATTTAGCACAGTCTTTTGGAGAAAATCACTGCACAGTAATTTCCTCATGAGGGTGGAACCTCAACAATAAGGAGTCTTTGGGTTACACTTTGATCACTCACCTAGGACCTGTTTGCCATGGCTGACCCTACCAGAGACATAAAGCCTCAGAAAACTTAGCTGCGAGGATCATTGGGACAATCAACCCCCTTCACCACGGTAAGGTGGTAGCTCAGTGCAACATACACAAAGGCCAAGCATTTACATAAAAAAGGACCAGAATTTCACTTTTAATGACCAGACACAAACTGCATCACACATCCAGGGAGGCATCACATCTGTCTGGCCTCCAACCAAGGACAGCAAGGATCTACGACCTTGCAGCCAAATAAGGGAGCCATAATAAGTGCTTTTCCTAGCTCGCTTGTCTTTGCTGGAACAAAAGTCTCGTGCAGAAGACGAGACTTTCACTCTGAATAAAGTTTATTTCCCTGGCTGACATAAATTACTTTAAAACTTTATATAATGAAATGTGTTGAATGAACAGTGTTTTAATTATGTGTGTATTAATCAATGATGTAATAAAATGAATATTTTTTTCTGCAATGATTCATTTCAGATCTTAAACTACACCAGATCAGTGTTTGTTGATTTAACAAGTTAATCTCAGTATATGCACACCTCCTAATAATTGTTAAATCAATGTTATAACATTCACTTCACATTCATGTGTAATAACATTTTCACTTCACACTAAGAGTTTACCTCTCTGAGTGTCTGACAGATGGAATGACTTTCTGGGGACTATAGTGGCCTTTAAAATTTGTCAAATTCTGATTTGTCTACAATTTGTAAACAACGTTTGATTAATACAGGAATCACTTCCTGGTTCACTTGGTTCGGCCAACCAGTGAGCAAGCATTTGAGACCATCCTCTCATTTGACACCAAGGTCAAAGCCTCTCTGCAACACTCACAGGTGATATCAGACAATGGCTTTTTTAAGAGCCACCCAACATGTCAGACGGGGAACGTTTAACCTGGTTGCGTCTCATGGCCGGTGAAATCTGAATTGAAAGGGAGCCACGACTTTTAGGATTCCTATGGACACAAGGCCCGGTAACCTTTTGTCCGGACCGCGGAGAGAGACAGTCACACAAGGGTGTGTGGACTCTGCACGATTGTGTCAGATGGTTTTATTAACAAAACTCTAGCTTATCAATCATGCAGCCGATCTGAATTTACCGCCCAGACTCCACAAGCTCTCTGAGAAACTCACAGGGTTTTGCTGAACATCTAGCTTCCATTCTATCATTTCATTCATCATCTGTTATCGGTATAACATCATTTAGTTCTGAAAAATAGAATAAAAATTATTTTTTATAAACTATATTCTTGACTCTGTCTGGATTAATGTGAAGTGTGTGTTCCCTGTATAAGTCAAAGAAACTAAAGTCTTCTGATTAAACATTCAAAAACCAATCAGATGTTCACATTTATCTGGAATATAACATCTTGTTGATCATTTAGTAACTATTGAGCCAATCCTTACCACTACACCAGGGAGGAGTAATATAATTTTTAAAGTTTACATTTTTTGTTCTTGTGAACCTGTGACGTTTAACTTGAAGGCACTATCTGAAAAAATGTGTCTTCTTCTTCTTTTTCCAGCAACCAGTGCGTATTGACGATGATATCTCTTATCAAAACACGTACAGAGGGACAGCCCCATGGAGCAGCGTTAAATCCGCTGCATCCTGATGCCAACAAATATGCATTTGCTTTACGGGCCACAAGAGCACACTTCATTGTGAGTCCTGCTGTTGCAGAAATGGAAATTTTAATGAAGTGAGCACAGAAATGGCTTTCTCCCCTTTTTTTTTTCCTTGAAAGGGGAGAGAATGACACTTTACCTACACTACCCAAAAATGGTCCAATGATCTTATTAAAGATAGAGGTACAACCCCCACCAAGTACTTTCATGACTCCGTCCTCCATGCACTGTAAAAACCATCTAAAGGAAGGTTCAGAGGTGAACTAAGGTAGGTGACTTTAGGCCTCAAGTGTCATGCTCTGTGTCCCTCTGTCCCCAGCCTCCTCCAGGTTCTCCTCCAGGTTCTCCTCCAGGTTCTCCTCTTATGTCCCATGATTATTCCCTCCTGCTTAGTTCTTTCCACATTTAGTTTACTGAATGCACCTGCCTTCCCTCCAGATCACTCACACCTGTCACCTGTTTCCCTGATCACCTCCCTCTGTGTTTAAAAGCCCTGTCTTGTCCCTCCGTGTTTGTCGGTCCATCGTTGTGTCTACGTTGTTCTGTTCCCTCCCGAGTTTTGCCCGAGTCAGTGCTCAGTTGTGAGCTTCTGCTTTTGTTTTTGGATGGCTCGATCAAGCCTCCTCCTTTAAGTAAAGGATTTACTTATTTACATCTGCTCCTGTCTAGTGTGTTCTGCGTGTTTGGGTCCTAACCTCCTGCTCGGCGTGACACTCAAGACACCAGAAGTACTTAAAATATCACTAAACAGACAGCAAAACCATCTCTTCCCTTGTGCTGTCATTTTCTGCTGAATGAGTTGAATCTGTACAAATGGGAAAAACCAAAAAATAAATAAAAACTTCAAGTAATGTACTGGGCAGCATGGTGGCGCAGTGGTCAGCACTGTTGCCTTGCAGCAGGAAGGTTGCAGGTTTGAAACTCGGCTGCGGCCTTTCTGCGTGGAGTTGCGTGTTCTCCCCATGCATGCGTGGGTTTCCTCCGGGTACTCCGCTTTCCCCACAGATCACATTATTTATGACCTGGCTATAGGTTATAAATTGTAAGTCGCTTTGGATAAACGTGTCTGCTAAATAAATAAACATAAACATAATAAATTGGATGTTTGAGTTGCACCTCAAAACCACAAACCATAATGAAACTCACATGGCTAAAGATAACTCCCCTTCCTGTGGCTACAACAAAAGCACTGTAAAAAGCCTGTCTCAGAGTTATGGCAAGCCAATTTATGACCTTCAAATCAGATGCCCATTGTTTAATTCTTGAAGACAAAGTGAACTTTTCTAATATCAAGAATAAGTTCCATTATTACCTTATTAATGGTTCTGCCAGTGGATTATAGTTTTTTTTTTTATCAGTCATAGAAATGTGCATAGATGATTAGGGAGTAATCCCAGATATTTAATGTATTAAGCAGGATGCTTCTCCCTAACATATGTCAGGCAGCTTTATTTATAAAGAACAGTATCAGCAGAAAATTCGAGAGGTTTCCGGTGCAAGAGAGCAGCAAAAACACACAACAGTAAAATTTAGCACAGCCGCCCATGTTTTACGATGGCTTTTCTCTCTTTTCATTATATTTGTTCAGCACCTTGGGTATCCGTGAAAGTAGTAGAAGGTTCTATACAAATACATCTAGATTTACTGAATGATTTAAATTCAACATGAGAACGTGAAACTGCAGATTTTAAACAGGCACAGGGGAACCTTTTCCCCAGAGTTGACTGGGGAAGACAGCGGTGTCACTCCCTCCAGGAAATACACCGCATCATAGTTCTTCATTCACTGATGGTTTCACAGCGTGACAGCACTCAATTAACACCATAGTAAGTAGATTTTAAAAATAAAGTGTAAAAAATAAAACAGTGGGGGTGGGGGTGGGGGGACTAATCTGGGAAAATGGGGTACCAGTTCCTTTGATTCGGGCTGTTAGGTCCCTGTATGACCGGTCGAGCTTGTTTAGTAAGTACATTTTATTTCTACAGCACTTATCACAGACATAGAATCACAAAGTGCTTCACATAGATCAAAAGAAAATAAAACAAAGTCTTAAAATCATAAGGATCTCAAAACAGAATTAGATTACTATCAGAAAAAATAAAGTCATAAAATTATAAATTTTCGTAAACAGATGAAAGATTAAAATTTTGAGCTAAAAGTAAGAAAATAAAAGGTTTAGTTAAAAGCAGCTTTAAATAAAAGGGTCTTTAGCTGTTAGTGTCCAGACTGTCGATCCTACGTAAGGATAAAGGAAGATCATTCCAGAGTCGGGGTGCAACAGTCTGGAAGGAGCGATCGGGATAGCGCTGAGTCTGAGGGAGCAGACGCTAACGTTGATGGGAAGTTAAGACTGCCAAACGTTTGTTGCTGAGGTGTTAGTTTGCAACGTTGCTCCAGTGATTCATCACAATAAAATAAAAGCTGAAACCTGTGAGGGTTTTAGCTCAGGAGTGTCCAAAATGCAGTCTGTGGGCCATTTAAGGCCATCATGGTTCTGTCTGGCCCTTAGCTGCAAATACGAAATGGTAGAGTTTTGTCCTACTATGATGTGCTGATCATCAAACAAAGCATGTGGTTAAACCCACGAATCTTTTTAATGTTGGAAATGATCGGTACAGTAAAAACGATTTGTCTTTTAACAACCTTTTTATTTCTTTGAACTTAATTTCCTGCGAAACAGATCCACAAATCTTCTTCGACTTTCCTCAGAAAGCATCATTTATAAAACCTGACTAATTACAGCAAACACGATCAAAGAAAGCGTAAACAAGATGCAGCTCTTGTCCAGACTGAAATCTCTTCTCAGGACATCACCGCTGATTGATCAGATGCAGAGAATTTGATGTTTCTTGTTTATTAAGAATGAGACCCTTTAAGTGTTTTGTATCTTGAAAAAGTTGCAGCAAACTTTCTGCTATAAAAAATACTTTGTTGTTTTTTTTCAGTAGATATGTGCTTTATTAATTATTATGATTAACCAGTGGGCTTTGACCTCTGGCTTCACCTCCAATCTAACACCAAAAGTGTGTAAGAGTACAACAGAATGTCCGTGACTGAAACCTTCAGAGCATTTTAAGGTTGCATGAGGCCCCCAAAGATAAAGATTCAGATACCAGAGAGAATCAATAGCAGCTGAAGTAATCATTCAGAGAGACAGAAGAGGATACAGTACTATCTGAAAATAGTAAAAAGCAACCAACAAAACCTTCCGTGACTGGAGACTCCCACACAGTCTCTGTTTCACCCAAGCTCTGTAACGTTCAAAGCCTTCCTCTTACCAACAGCGGCTTCCTGTTTATGAACTTCCTACTGCGCGCTGATGAAGCAGAGACCGTGCCACTTCTGCTTTCCACTCACAACACCTGCTAAACATAAACTCAAGAGCAAATAGAACAGAGCAAGGCATGATGAACCTGGTCTACGCTCTAATTTATGGATCTATTATCATTCTTGGTCTGCCACTCAACGTCGTGTCTCTATGGATTCTGCTTCGTAACTATGGCTGCACATCTCCCATTGCTGTCTTCATGGTCAACCTGGTGATTTCAGACCTATTACTCATCATTTCCCTGTCCATGAGGGTCTACTATTACGTTAAAGGAGCCTGGCTTCTCGGCAGCATGGCATGCATCTGCTTCACGATGCTTTTCCGCAACAACATCCGCACAAGCTCCATCTTCATCACCTTCATCAGCGTGGACCGGCTGCTGGCTGTGGTTTATCCTCTGAGGTCACGACATCTTCGAACCACGTCCAAAGCTGTGAGAGGAGTTGTAATTGTTTGGCTGGTTGTGTTGATGGTGAATGTCCCCGAGAGCGTGGGATACTTCAGAGACATAAATGAAACAAACTGTGATGAATTTGAAACTCCGAAGACGCTGCTCAACTCTAAAAACAGCACTCTGAAATATGACAAACTGAAAATGGCAACTGGTTATTTTCAGCTTGTGTTGCTGCTCACCTTGCTGGTGGTCAACATCGTGTCCACAGTGATGGTGTCCTGGACGCTCAACAGGCGTTTGAACGAGTCTGCCAAGGTCAACAACAAAATGAATGTCATGCTGATTTTTGCCATGAACTTGATGATGTTCATCGTCTTCTTCTTGCCCGTGTCCCTAATTGTTATTTTTGATCACCTGAGACCTCTGTTAAGCTGCCTGGCTAGTGTGAACTGCTGTGTGGATCCACTGTTGTACTACTTTTCATTTGATGGATTCTGGAAGAAGAAAGAGGACGGGGAGACATCACTCGCAAGACACGAGTCGGGGAACACGAAGCACAGAGAGGTAGAACTACACAGGAAGTCCTCGGGCATTACATGAAACTCTTCGGCTGCGGACAGTGTGTTACATTTTACTCCGTAAGAAAGGTTTGACTGGATTTTATCTGACTCCAGAATCATTCTTGTTATTGTGAAGATAAAACACAAGCCGTAGCAAAGTTACCTAGTTAATGTTACAGAACTTGACTTAAAGCTGTTATACTGATGATTCATTTGTTTTGTGCTGCTACCATTGAGAGAATTATGCTCTGAAGTTGACTGCCAAGTCGGAAAAAGTTGTTTTGTAAATATTTTATATGCCATCACTCTGAAATATGACGTGTGCGTTAAAAAAGTCAGCTAAACAAGCCTTTAACCAACATGTACACTCGTGATTTATTCTTTATTTCGTGTTATTTTTTAACATTAAAATGATCTACCCCTTCACTGGTGCTGTTTTAGTAGTTTTGCGTTGCCGAGTTCTTACGTTTACCTAACTGGTCCATCAACCGAGTCACTTCCATTCCAGGTTTAACTCAGCAGCTCTTAAGTGAGTTGGAGCTCTCAGCCTGGTTTTGTTGGATACGATCTTATTTGTATGCAAAAAGCAGTTCTTCTCGTAAATAAAGTCTGTAAGGCTGTGGCTGGCCAGATATTGCTTTTACTGTGACCCATCTAAAATTAAAGCCCTGTATGGAGGCGCTTTCCTACCTCAGGCAGCGCCATATATGTTTAATGTGACCTTTACTTGTGACCTCTACAGGAGGAAGTTAATGATGAGACTAAAATGGGGACAGAAGTCCTTCTCACAGCCTCAACAAGGTGTTGACTTCTCCCTGCATTTCCCTGCTGTTACCATTAGTGCTGGCATACTTACTCTGTGTTGAACGTGTCAGATTAAAATAAACTCCATTGTGCATCAAACCCAGTCAGCAGAGAGGAAAAGTCAGTGGGATGGTCTGTTGTGTTGTACAAGACAAGTCAGGTCTGATTCATGTCTTTGAGAGGCACATCTGAATAACGTTTCTAATCAGTCAATATGATAAATATTGAACACACCCTGTTCAGGTACATTAGGAAGATTTGAAACCCTCTGGGATTAATTTGTGATTAATCGTGACTTAACTATGGACACTCGAGAACAATCAAGACTAAGTACTATAATAATAGACAGGTCTATGCAACTAATGATGATGTCATTTGCCAAATTAGACCAGTGTTTGTCATATTTAGTAGTTGTCTTAGGTCAGCAGTTCCCAACCTTCTTTCCTTAAAGACCCCTTGTCTGTGCCCAAGTCAAGCGAGGACACACACACACACACACACACACACACACACACACACACACACACACACACACACACACATGTCTGTCTTTCTGTCTTAGTGAGGATCCTCCATTGACTTCCATTCATGTTTGTGACTGCACTATACCTAACCCATACCCTAACTCTAACCAGTGCTGTTTTATTCCGATACCTAACCTTAACTAAAACTTCATTCACACCATACCACTAAAACTAACTGGTGAGCTTCTAAAAAAGTGAGTACCACAAAAATGTTCTCACTGTGTGGGGAAATTAGTGAAAATGGTCCTCAGTATGCAGGAAGTACAAGAACACACACACACCCATCTCCTACCCACATTCACACAATAAAATGGATTACTTACCAACTTTGAACATACAGAATTATAACTCTTATACAACGTTCTGATTGTACTACTGGGTGTATTATTGGAATTTTACAATTAAATGTAGTTTTTACAAATATAATCCCGGTAACCTCACAACTTCAGCTCAGACTAAACTTTAGAGACTCCTGTAATCTTGTGGGAATCCCTTTTTTTTGGGGGGGGGGGGGGGGGGGGTTGTCGCGAATTCCAGGTTGGGAACCGCTGTTCTAGATTGACATTTTCTATAGGTTGGTGGCAACACCTGCTGGTGAGTGTCCTATAAAACAATCTATCTGATAGGTACATTGATTTTTCTCCCTTCCTGTTCAGTTATGAACAGGGTTTTGAAAATACGTACATAATATTTATTTTTTACACCATTCAGTCTTGTCTATGCAGACAAAACCGCTTTGAATTCTGTCATGTAGCGGTGATTTGCACATGGACCTACACAAGCCTAGCCTGGCCCGCCAGAATCCTGCTCTGTTTCTGCACAGAGAAAGGGTCTGGGAACTCTCCTATTCAAATAACTCCACCCCTGAGGATTCTAACCGAGCCAATCAGCGCTGAGCAGCGTACATCACACACCACAACGCCGAGTTTGTCATAAACATGGCGACTGAAGCGAAGTTCGCTGCAGCTCTTTCCTCTGGTCTAAATGACTTGGACAAGCGCTAAAAGCCTTTCTTCTAAAGGCAGATGTTCGCGCCGTTGCCAGACGCCATTTTTGACTACAGCTAAAAAACTACAGCATCGCGGGGTACAGTCTGCATTTCCGTCTTTTTTCTGATTGGTTATTTTTGAGCTGGCTAGTCCCGCCTCTCATGAGCCTCTCTGCCTGTGAGTTACCAAACTCTTTCTGTGCAGAATGAAACAGAGGACGAGTCTGGCAGGCCAGGCTAACACAAACCTATAGTTTATCACATTCTCAGCACACAACCCTTTAGCCCTGAATCAGATGAAGTCAAATAGAATTTTTTTTAGTGGAAACTTGATTAAACATCACTTAAAGATGTTTCATATGATAACAAAATTTTGTTGAAGCCAGCTACGTTGTATTAATTGTCTGAATTTTCTGAATTGTGAACAAGGATCTGTTAAAGCAATCACCATGGTAACAAAGACTCATAACCTGCTATTGAGTTTCATGAACAGGCAAGTTAGCCTAGAAATTTAGACAGACCGCAGCAAAAGCAAGATGATTTTGCTCTGCATGTTGGTCTACCCACGCTCCATTAGAACCTCATCAGACCCAACCAGTGTTGTGTTTCGGTTTGGTGCTAAGTTAAAACTTTAGCATTGTTACGTCCCCGACATGAGATGGTAAAATGTGAAGGATGGGGACAACATAAAAACCGGACAGTGGATATTAAAAGTGTTTTATTGTTATAAAAAGGTTCTAAAAATGAGCAAACACTTTTAATATCCACTGTCCGGTTTTTATGTTATCCCCATCCTTCACACTTTACCATCTCATGTCGGGGACGTAACATAAATAGGGGCTCGTCCGGGATTTTTTAACAGACCGTGTTGGAATGTACAATCCCTGGTGGTGGAATTTTAATGGTGTTTTATTTGTTTCAAGGTTTTAAACAACAGATGGCTTCATGGATGACTGGCGGGTGCTTCTGGAGGCCCAGCTCCCACTGGAGGATCCACTGCTGGATGGCCTCTCAGAAGCTTCGAGCCTGATCCAGCCCAAGGAGAGGAGGATAAAAGACGTGGATCCAGAGATGACCCCTACAGGCAGGCTCAGGTGTTGCACCTAGCGGGTTAGCGTTGGTGGTTTATTGTCGTAAAAGATACAGCGTAATTGGAGTGCCACTCCCTTTGGTGCAAATTGTAAAACAATACTGGAAAATTATACCGAACAAAACAAGTGTAAAATCAACAGTAGTATTTACTAATATATAGAAAGAGTAGCATCATTTATGATGCAAATCTACAAAAAGCAGAATCCCCATCCTCAGGCCACCAAAACAGATCTCCTCAACACCTTGCTGGCACCTAGAAATCCTGTCCATAAAAGTTATGCGCAGAATCGGCTACAAAGGGCAGCCTTGGAAGAGTCCAACTCTCACTAGGAATGAGTCTGATTCACCGCCTGTCGTACGGACCAAGCTCTGGCACCAGTCATCCAGGGACTAAGAGTTCCGACAGGCTGAGAGGATAAAATTAGGAGTGGTGGTACTGCATACCTGTGAGGACCGGCGCACTTAAAGCACAGTTTGTAATGATATTGCTCAAAAAGACAATGCAATGTTCAGTAATTCTGAGTAACAAGTTCTGCTTTTAACCTTGTCAAAAAATGTGGTCCACTTCTGTAGCAGCTGTGGTTCACTGAAGTCCGTAGACAGGAGTCAACTCAGTTGCTAATCCCTTATTTTCTAGGTACTTGTCTTCAACATTATACCAATCTCACTCAAACCTGTCCATCCACTTTACATCAGCACAGAACTATTCACTTTCCTTATCAAGTCCCTTTTATGCTAGTTGAACAAATATAAAAGAATTTGAATACTATAGCTGCACAGGTTCAACAAAATAACAGCTGCAACTTATAAAAGTGTATTTTGAAGACCCATTCTTGATTCTCCATTCTCACTTTTTCAATTCTCACTATGACAACCATAAATAAAGAACATTTGGCTTGGATCCTGCATATTGCAGTTCTCTTTTAGAGCCATCTACACCTGAACAGTCTCAAATTACTGTGATGCACAACAACACAGTGTAAAGAAATAAGGACTGCAGCAACATGCTATGCTGCCCTCACAAACTAAACAGTAAAACAAATACTGTGTGTGCCTCTTGAACCACATGCAGAATAATTTCTCTTTTGCATAGATTTGATTTTTCTGCCTGTGTACATCAGGGTCAAAGTGTATGATATAGTAAATGTGATGCATTCAAGTGCACATTAAACAATTGGAAATAGCACTTCTTCTGAACAGCTTTTTAAGTGCCTATTTCTTTACTTGTGTCCTCCCTGGGCTGCCATCTTTCTGTGGTGAGGTATCCAAAGATCCTGGAGCTAAGTTGTCTAACCCCGGCTTTCCACGGGAGCCGTCAGCAGCACGTCTTGCTCGCGTAAGCTGCTGCTTGGCCCTTCCCACGAGACGCGAAGCAGCAGGGGAGCAGCCGTCACCGACAGAGCACAAAGTCACACAAGTGACTTCGTCAGTAAACACAACAACAAGCAGGAGAAAACTACAGCATGGCTCCGAAAGGTTTGTGTTTTATGTTCTGTCCGTTTTATAATCGCCAATACGGACCTGAAAACAAAGGAGACCGCTAGCTAGGTGATAACTTCTCACGGGGACGCACAGTTAGTAACATTTTTTAAAAGTAAAGCAACCGGAAGGCAGTACGTTCTTTATTCTGAAAATCTCGGGAGCTTCTCTCCATTTCCGCGTCTGATTTCCTGTCTTTCCTTCCCCAAAAATGTCGAACTTGACCCGTTTCAGAGGTGTCGCGCGTAGAAAATAGAACCGGCGCGTAAAGGCCGCGACATGCTGCTCCTGAGACGCGGCCGACTCGCGCTGCTGACGGCTCCGGTGGAAAAGGTTCTGTTGACCACAGCGGTTCCTATCAGCAGCTATGATGTGCTGCTGCAGTAACGTGCTGCTGACGGCTCCTGTGGAAAGCCGGGGTAAGGCTTTATGCCTGGTAGGGTCACCCATAGCAAATGTGTGCGAGAGATCCCTTGCCTGGATCCGGGTCATGGGGCCTCTTTCTAGAGCCAGGCCTAGGGTTATGGCATGTTGATGAGCACTTGGTCACTAAGCTGTCACCCATGGAGCCCAGCTGGGCAGAGCCTGAAGAGGAGATGGGGTCCCCCTTCCCATGGGCTCACCACTCAAGTGACAGCCTGAGTTGGTGTGTAAGGCAAAAAGGTTCTGGCTAGATATGCCAACTCACCTCAACGCATGGCTTTGGCTCCGAAACCAGTTTCTTCAAGAGGGGATGGACACTCTTCCTCTCTGTAGTTGTGCCCACTGAGAACCGCAGCGGTGGGCATACTTGTTGCACCCTATCTTGGTGTCTGTACATTGGGGTTTACGAGAGGGTAGCCTCCCTCAGCCTACACGTGGGGAGATGGGACCTGACTGTGGTTTGTGCTTATGCACTAAAGTGAAGGTCAGACTACCCATCCATTTCAGAGTCCTTGGAGGGGGTGCTATAGAGTGCCTCCTCCAGGGGATCATACTCCTGAGTCCCCCGGTAAAGTCTATTCAGGGGTTCTGGAGAGGAGGGTTAATCGGATAGAAACTCGGATCCGGGAGGAGCAATGTGGTTTTTTTCCTCGTTGTGTAACACTGGACCAGCTCTATGCCCTTAAGAGGGGTCCTGGAGGGTGTGTGCAAATACCCAACAATAAATGAATAAAGGAAAACAACAAGTAACAATGAGAAGAAAAGACCAAACAAAACAAAGAACCAAAAAAACCGAGAAACTGAGAAAACTAGGCCAAAACCAGCAATAGCCCATCCATACATCAAAGACATAACAGAAAAGACAATAACAGTGATTAAAAAACAAATCATAACCCTAACCCACAACACCACTCATGGGACATGACGATCAACGGTGAAGGCGTGGGCAGTAGAGGGTGATACGGTTCTCTGCTGCCTGTAGATGAATGGAAGTGACCAACATCGGTGGTTGCTCTGACAATGGCAGCAGTGGATGCCAAAACATGTCAGCAAAGATATAAACAAGTTCAACATGCTCTGTGTATGACGAAGAACCACAAAAGATATCTAATATTACTAACATGTATTTTGTGAACTTGGAGAAGGCATTCGACTTCATCCCTTGGGGTGCCCTGTTGGGGGTACTCTGGAAGTTTGGGGCACCAGGCCCTTTGATCCTAGCTAGACTGAAGCAATCACTTTCAATCCTAAACACCCTTCACAATCACCAAACATCCCTCCACTTCCCTCTCTGTCCCTAAAGTATTGTGTTACCAGTCTGGGGTTAAGCTTGACCTGATTTATCTCGGACATTTCACACACAGAGACAATTTAATGTGCTTTCCATTAGCAAGAACATTAAAATCCACATGACAGAAAATAAAATGTAAAAATGTAAAAGAAGCAAAGTTAAAGGTAAAGGGTGAGCAAATACAGCGCAGAAGGTGCAGCATAAGAACATTTACGCAAAGGCTGATGAAAACATGAAGGTTTTCAATTTTGATTTAAATCCCATCTGTGTGCAGCATAGTAGTTAAAGCAGCTTTCCCGTGTTTGGTTCTGACCCGAGGTTCTACCAGCTGACTGCTTCTCATGGATCTCAGAGCCCTGCGGGGCGCATATACCTGAAGGAGATCTAACATGTATTCTGGCCCCGTGCCACTGAGAGGTTCATAAACTAGTAGAAGCACTTTGGGATTGTGTAGTTTACTGGTAACCAGGGTAGAGATATAAGAGCAGGAGGGATGGGTTCGGTTCTCTTGGTTCTTGTTAAGACTCTAGACCCTAAGACCCTGGGACCCTGCAGTTGCTTCACAGCTTTTTGGGAAGACCGGTTAGGGGACCACTGCAATAGTCCAGCCTGCTGTAGATGAACACATGAATGAGTTTCTGTAGGTCTTGTTTTGACATGAGCGCTCAGAGTCGTGCTGTTTAATGCAGTTGATAAAACGCTGATCTAGCTATAGCCTTAATGTGACCAGTGAAGCTCAGGTCTGAATCAATTATGGCACCAAGACTTCTAACCTGGGTCTTTGTCTTTATTCCTCTGGAGCCAAGCTGAGCAACAAAATAAAATAAAAAAATACCAGATCCGCCACATTACCGGACAGAACCCCATCTTAAGATGGCCACACTTCAGACTGAGTCTTTCACTCTTAGTCACACCTTGCAACTCTCCTTGGGACAAATGCATCCTGCCTCAATAGGCTGCAGAAAGTTCAAAATGCAGCTGCACAGTTTCTCACCAGCAATAATCATCATGGTGATATCGCCCCTGTCCTTGCCAGACTGCACTCAGTTTCTATACAGCACATTGATTTTAAGATCCTGACCCTTACGTACACCGCTCTGAATGGTTTTGCTCCTTCATACCTTTGTGAATTGCTGAAACCTTACACACCATTCCATTCCCTCCGGTGCACTGACCAGAACCGACCTTTTGCCCCTGAATTTAGTACCCCTCCCTTTCTATCCCCACCTAAGTCTTCCGAACATTGATATTTATATATAGGTATTTACTTCTGTTGTTTCCAGTCTTATGGTTGGAATTAATCATAACAACCACTTATTTATTGTGTATGGTGTTGTTGTTTGTATAAGCTGGGAGGGCCTTGTTTTGCCCCTTTTTTATGCCTCGTCAGCTCTGTATGTTCAGCACTTTGGTCAGAATTGATGCCGTGTTTTAAATATGGAAGGATGGGATTATGGTCAAAGCCAAAAACAAATGTTGACAGTTAAAATCCAGCATGTTTAAGCTTGCATGCCACAGTACACAGCTTATAAACACATTTTCACTCATGCAGCTAATGACAAGAAGCACACAACAACTGAGATTAACACTTCTAACATCAACAGTTCCTGCAAGAACTCTAAAAATAATCTAAAACATGTCACCTACAAGTCTTAGTGTCTGCTTTGCGGTGCTAGGCCTACTTTTTAGGAAGGACACGAGCGATGTAAAACTGGTGTGTGCTGCTGGCTGGTGATCACTGTTGTACACCTCACAAGGGTCTGCACCTTCCAATGTGGATTCATCTCCCTTCTTTAAGCTCAGAATTCCACTCGCTTCTTCAACATTAAGGTGTGCACCATTAACAGCATGCTGTTGTTTTATAAATACTAATGAATGTAAAAAATCTGAAGGAAACCATCATGACTTATCAGTCATGCCCTGATGTGGGGGCTGGGGGGTGCGTCGACATGGTCGGGACATAGAAGGGGGTGCGCGGCTAAATAAGTTTGGGAACCACTGGCCAAGAATAATGAGTTCTATTTCGTCTAGTCTTAGCCCTTAAGCTAGCTGCTATTGGAAGGATGATCTCAGCATCAGCCAATCATGAAGAGCTTAAATGTATGCCCACCAATGGTGGGCACCCCTTGTGGGTATATAAGTGGAGCGACTCCACTGTTCGCCTCCGTTATCGCTTCAAGCCAAGCTTAAGAGTTTCCTTCAAAGAGCAATATTATCCTACAACAATCGACTCACCGACTATGTCCAGCGACGCCAGGACCTGCCCGGCCTGCCAGACGGGCTCCATCTCCAGCGGCGACCTGCACGCCAAGTGTGAGGTCTGTCTCGGGGCTCATCACGATGGCCTGGCCTTGACCCCCCAGGCCTCGTTCCCGTTTTGTGCCGCTCTGCCTGTAGCTGAAAAAATCCGCCGGGTCGAGTACTTCACCCCCGCCGCTGCCGAGGAAATTCCGGTGGCTGAGACGTACTCGCTGGACAAGGTCTGCCAAACTTTTACTCCATAATGTAAACTTTAACTCCTGCAGCGTAGAGGAAACTTGTTAAAATACGCCAACACGGTGGATTTAATAGAAGCTTTAAAGAACAAACTCTGGACGGTGTGATCTTTGCACCAGCAGCTGCGAGCTGACTCATGACGTGTCCAGCTCAGACAGGTGGTCATCTAAGGTACGCTTACGAACAAGAACGTCGTCGGCATAGATGAGGGTGCCTTGCTCTCGAGCATCAGGGCAGGCTTTGATACAAGAAGATGTTGAACTCAGCCGGTGAGATGGAGTCCAAGGAGTCAACTGAAAGAGAGTATTTGTATTTTAACAGAAGTTGATGTCGTTTGTCTCGTTCAACATCAGAGGGCAGCTCTGATGAAAGCTGTGGTTGTGGTGAAGGCTCTGAGCTTGGCAGGGAGCATGTGGTTTCCCCATGCTCAGGGTAACCAACTGCAAGGCAGTGGAGGTCAAGGTCAGGAGGCAAAGCAAAGGGCAGGGGGTCTTCTACACCCACCCAAAGTTCACCCCTTTCCAGATCGATAAAAGTTTCAAGGTGCTTCAAAAGGTCAACGCCGAGGATCAAAGGCATGGCACCACGCTAACAGATG